CCCCCCCCCCCCCCCCCCCCCCCCCCTTCCCTGTCACACACACACACACAGACAGAGGATTCAGCATTTTAAAACCTGATGTCAGGTAGAGCAGTTTTAAGCACACCTGTGATAATGATCTGAGGCTGGGAGGCATGTGATCTGTGCCGGTGTGTTTGATCTAGGTGACCTTGCGGGGGTCACGAGGACCTTGAAAAAGGGCATGAGAAATTAAGACTTTTGGTAGCAGTTCAGACTTGAGGCAAAGAGATGCATGCATGTGTATTTGAAAGGAAGGGTATCATTAAAGCTTTTAGGTGCACAAAAATAGCCGTATCAATAAGAAATGCCCATGATTGACTGTTGCTATAGAAACAAGACCTATGAGTAAGACGGTGACATAATTTTAAAGAAAACTTGGACTTGGACAATCATTTCTCAACATTACTTTTTATGAATTTTGTTTTTCACTCTTATTTGTCTATTTTTAAATGTGAATAGTAATTTGTGTTTGTTGTTTATTCCAAACACTGATGGCTCCCTGTAAATTGAATAAAGGCAAGAAATTTTTCAAAAAAAATTCTTTTTTTTGGTGACAGAGGTGCTTTATTATTATGAAAATATAAGTTATTTAAAACACAATATTAAATTATTTGTGAACTTGGATAATTTGCACACTAGAAAAAAATAAATGGGCAGCTGTAAAATTAAAGGTCTACACGTATAATAGAAATCTTATTAAAAAGATTATAAAAATCTTAAGGCAATGATAGAACTAAAAACCTGCCAAATCAGCAAGTTGGTTGTGGAGTATGATTCTGCAAATAATGCAAACTGATGTTTAAATATAATCTGTCTTTTCAGGCCAGTGATTTCAGTGATGCAACCCAGTGGCCGTCACTCAGTGAGGTAAGGACTATGTGAAAGACAAACATTAGGATCAACAGCAGATATGACTTGATTTTAAATATGATTTGATTGATATATTTTGAGCAACAAGTTCACTGTGTGTGTGCATCTGTGATCTTGTTATGCAGAAACTGGATAAATTTTGCAATAAAGGGGTAACAACTCTTCGCATGAGATCTATATTTCACAATTAAAACATTGTAAACAACTCATAGAAATATAATATATTCTATTTTACCACAAAAGTGACAGTTAAAGCATTTATTCTAACATCTTTCGGGGAAAAAACAAAACAAAACAAAACAGTGACTAACTTTGAATTTAGAAATGGATTCATTAACCATTGTTAAGTATGGGAAAATTGTTTACCCCAGGAAAATTTATTTTTGGCCAAAATGGACAGTTGTTATCCCTTTAATTTAGGCTTAAAAAGAAAACACAACTTACTGCTGTTCTAAACCAAATGTTTGGTTTTTGATAAATGTCTACTGAGTATAAGGAAGCAAAGTGTATTTTTTTTTATCCCAGTGAATATGTGGTATACCAGGTCAACAGTGCTTTGTTAAAATTAAAATCCAATTAGATTGTTATTGATTTAGAAATTTCTTCAGTGGAAAGAGGGAAGAAATTTCAAACTGATGAAGTGAGAACAGGTGTGTGTTATCTCTCTTAAATTATATGTGGAAACAGGTGTGAGACCAGCCTCAACTTCCAGTCAGAAAAAAAAAATGATAAGAGAGAATGAGAGACTGTGTGGTGTAAACAACTTATGTGAGCTCTTATCATTATGCAACATTAAAATCAACATATTGTTATTTACAAGGAATAAATTCTCTAGGTTTATTTTAATAAATACGGTTCAGCTGTGGATTGTTATGCAAGTTATCTCATATATATAATTTTTAGAAACACTTTGCCTTGGCAGTTGTCTTTTTTCTTGAGGTGCTTTCTAGTTTAAAAATTGAGTATTAATTATCTGTGTTCAGACCGTATATAATATATGTATAGCATTGAGTTGCATATAAACTCACTTGGTTGTGGTTGATGATGTAATCTAAGCTGCCACACATCAGGTGTTCTGTCTGGAATGAGATCCACATTCTTTTCCAGTGGACCATGTTGTTAGTAGTCTTGAGAAGATTTTGCTTAATAATCATGTAGAGATTGAAAGATGTACCGTCTCTCTAAAAAAAAAAATTTTTTTTTTGTATATTTTCTTAATTTATTCACTCCCAAATCAGTCAGTCATGTGTCTTTTTGCATATTCTGTTTTAAGAATGATAAACAAAATTGGAGCCTGAACAATGAACATTCTATAGGAGGAAGGATATTACTTGCATTCAGGAGAGAGAACAGAATATTATCTTTTTGATACTCTTGTTTCTTCAGGTTGACTCTGTGTTCTACTCAGTTTTAATTAACTTGATTATTCATATATGGTGATGAAATTTTATTTTTAATGTGAAAATTATTAATAAGTAGCTAGGTATAAGCATTAATAATGGTGCTCATTAATTATTGAGAACCAGAAATAAAATACGTGAAAGTGCAATCTGTCTTGACTAAAGTATGCAGAATTTCCTTAACCATAAATTTTGTTTACCATTCTGTTTTTACTTTCCTTTTAATTATGTATGCATGTCAAGAAGCCTTTTTTTTTCCACATCACGTGTTTACAAAAATTTCCTTTTGCGCATTTTTTGGGCAAAGCTCAAGTTATGTTGAAACCATTTGTTTTATGCAAGTCATGCATACTATTAAGCATTTGATGTATTTTACATTCATTGGCTATCTGAACTACAAATTATATAAAATATTTAATAGTGGTATTTATTGTTTTACATTTTGTTAAAGGAACGCCCTATTAAATCTTTATTGCATGAAATCTTTTTTTTTTTTCACCCTGTAGCCTGTGGCAGGAGGAGGGACTCCCACTGTACCCAGTCCAACTTCTAGTACCAGTAATGTGCCCAAAAAGTCTCAGGCTTCAGCCGTGGGGACACAGACCACTCCACCTCAACAGCAACCAACCCCAGCCCCAGCACCAGCACCAGAGGTGCCCCAGCAACAGACCCCCGTGAAGGAGCAGCCAGAGAAGGAAGTTGACAACAGCCCTATTGCCCGGGAGACACAGACTGGGTCGTCACAGAGTGATTCTGGGGGAGAGGACGAGGGGAAAGAAAGTTCCGATGGGAATAAATCGACTCCCAAATCTAGAGCTAAAAAGGGTAGGGTTTGGTGTACCACTTACATTGAGGGTTCTTTTGTCGCTTTTTTTCCATTCTTACCCCATCTCTTTATTTCTTTTTCCACAGTCAATACTTCAGAGGAAAATTCCAGGGAGTAGTTTGGAAGTGTGTGTCACCATTATTTACAGCTCTGCAGCTTCTTGGGATTTTGCTGACCTAAATTATAGCAAACTTTATCCACCCAAACATGAAATAAAACCTTTGATTCATGACTGTTTGATATATCTTTGGTACTTTATTTGGACAAAGCTGGGAGAACTAATCACTTCTATCTTGAAACCTCTATAATAGATGTCATCTTTTGAAAGGAACACTGTGTTTCAAACTTAGTTTAGATCAGCTTGAAATATGAAATAAAAACTGGAGAAAGTTATGTTTGAGGCATAACAAAATCTGAGAGTTTTATTATAATGCTGCATGTCTTTAGGATAATAGTCCAAGAAAGCAGGAAAGATTGCAAAATTGATATATTATAATTTGAAAAATTGGCATGAAGTATATTCAAGTCCTGCCCCCCCCCCTTTTTTTTCCATCAATAAGGCCATTGCTTTTGAGAACCGCTCAAGCTCAGAGATGGTCAAGCTCCCACACTGAATTAATGACCACTTCACCTTTGTGGTATTCAGGCACCACTTACTCTGCCTGTTTGTGAGAGCCCCGGCAGCTGACCTAAGCCATCTTTCATGATATACCTCTTGGTACCCATAAAGGTGGATTAATACAATAGCAAAACTTATCTGTGTGACATATGTATTTGGTTGAATGTGCGTAGTGTGAGAGGTGTTTTAATTGATGTGTTTTTAATTCAATATAATTTGAGTAAAACATTTTGGACCTTGGAAAATTCCCATTTTTCACAGCATGGAAAACAACATTCTCAGCATTCCCATGCTCCCGTGCTCTGAAAAGTCAAAGACCATGGGGCAGATCAGATAAACGTTTTCATGTTTTTTTTGTTTTTTTTTTTGTAAAAGCTGCTACAATCTTATATTTTTCACAATCCTTTAATAACTGTTATTGCCTAACTCAAAGATGAACTGTCATGAATATTTCTTTGATTATCATCTTCATGGAATTTGAAAAGAATTATGCATTGTATGTTGGATATGAAATATATGAAAGGGATGGAATAAGTAGTACTTACAATAATTTCTACTAAATGATAATGAAGAGAGATTTTGTTGGTGTCCCCATAATTTTCCATGAATCAAATGTAGTTCTAATTGTAAACTCAAAATGCCCTTGAATGTAATTTTTATACCGATTTTTTTTTCTTTTCTTTATGTTGAGAGTCATGGATTCATTTTCATTTTTGTATGAGAATGAAATCCGTATGGAGAGGTGACAATTTCTTCACTTTATACTAGTGTGAAGTGGCTTTAGGATATTAAAGGGATAACAACTCTAAATATATGAGACTCGAAACTCCACAATAAATACATTGTAAACAACTCAGAGAAATGTGATAAAATCCATTTTGCCACCAAAATGGCAGTTATCGCAAACATTCAGAAATCTGTGCTTGCCATCGGACCATGGACCATTCATAGATGGCTAACCCCTTTAATAATCTCTTAAGAGATTACTACAAAAACACATAGGAAAATTGTTGTTTACCGCAAGAAAATTCATTTTTATGGCATTATTCCTACCAAAATGAAGAGTTGTTATCCCTTTAATGCAGGTATTCTCTAAGTATGAGACGCGAGTCCCATGCATGGTCTTCTCAATTTAAAATGTTCAATTTCAACCCCTATCTACAAAGGAGAAATGTCAGTAGTAGCAGTCACAAATTTTTAAAGACGTATATTATATATAATAATATAATAATAGGATGGTGGAAATTGGTGTTTATAACTAAAACCTTGTGTGGTATTGCTTGATTTTCTCAATACCTAATACTTATTTTTAATTGCACATTTTTTCCTTTCTTCAAACATTTTGAATATCGTTTACACAGGACCTTTTTCCATTATGATAGTGGGGGTTTTCTTGTATGCTTACTAAAATGCACACATGAGTTGTTAATTTAAATTTGTATTTATTTCTTTGACAGGATCCAAACAAAAGTGGGTCCCCTTAGATATTGAACCGCCTCGAATGGAGCGTGGCCACAAAACAAAGAGCCGAAGCACCAGCGATATAACAGAAACACGACGGGATGCACCACGAGGAAGGCGTTATGAACGAGGTCGGCCAGAGAGAGGCCGAGGAGGGGAACATAAGAGCTCTCCCAGAGGAAGAGGTAAAAAATGGACTTGATTTGAAATCTGCATGAAGTTTTCAATCCATTTATCACTTAGTAAAACTAGTGATATTAGTGATATTAGTTTTAATTATTTGGTTCAAAAAATCCAAATAATTGTATATGTTAGTCTTTGTCTCAACTTTTACCAAAGGATTGATAATTTCTTTCATTTTTGACTTGACCTTTTAAAGGTCAATTGTTTATCTATGAACAAAGTGCTGAGAGACTATTTACTTAACTTGGCACATTCCATTAAATAAAAAAACTTCTTGTAGGATCTGACTCTTCCAACTGGCGGGATAGCATGCATCCACCCAGCCCTCGCGACCATAGAGGGGGCTATAGAGGGCGTGGACGTGGAAGAGGCCGTGGACGTGGTCGGGGAAGAACCAGATCAGAATATTTGTGTAAGTTCTCGCCCTCATCAAAACTTGATCGTGGCTCATCACTGACTTCTTCCTCCACAGTTGACAAATAGATCTACTAGGCATAATTTTAATAAGAAGGAATGGGTATTTATAGGAAGTACACCTAGGAGAAATTGGCACATATGTACTTGATGTGTGTGATTTTGTTCCAAATCAGAGATGACCTAGTTGATGTAAAAGGCACTTTTAAGTAAACAGGCTTATCTTTCCTGGATCAGAAGAGTGGTTTTCAACTTTATCTCACAGGGGACTGATTCCCATTCCTAATCTGATTACTGCCTCTTAGTCACAGTTTTGATATATTGTGTCACATGTAACAGAAAATGGACACAGAGGTAAATATTTCTGATAAAGATTTCACGTCTTGAGAAGCCTAAGAATTTTTCCAGAAAATGTCTTAAGTAAGTCCTTGCTGATATTGCAATCAAATCTCATTACATTTCAGACACAGACCATGGGGGCGAGCAATATTACTTTGCCAATGACGAGGCCTATTATATAGACCCCACTGCATATAGGGCAACTGCATATAGTGGTCCCGTTTTCTTTAATACCATGCTTGGTGTAACACCAGCCGTGGATGATGGAACTCTTAGTGATTATATCAAGAAGCAGATGTGAGTTTTTTTTTTTCCTAAGCATCCTGCATGTTGTTTTGTTGTACTGCCATTATTTTATTTTACTTGCGTATTTAAGATGTCACTGTATTCATTTAAAATTTAGGCAATTTTTAAACTTGAAAAATATTGTTAAACTTCTAAAGAAATTGAGTAAGAAAAAATACTGTCAAACTTTTTAAGTAATTGGGCAAGACGACATGTTTCTCCTCAGCATGATAATAGAAAAAGTCAAGCCCAAATGTGGCATGTTATTCTGACCTAATTGGCATATAAAGCATATAATACTGCAGTATACTGATCATAGAGATAATTGAAGTGACATCAATTGTTTTCCAGAGAGTACTATTTCAGCGCAGAGAATCTACAGAAAGATTTCTTCCTGCGCCGTAAGATGGAGAAGGAAGGATGGATACCACTCAGTTTGATAGCCAGCTTCCACAGGGTGCAAGCCCTCACACAAGATGTCAACATGATCATCAGGGTAATTATTTATTTATTTATTTATATTTATTTTATTATTATTATCTTTTTCGATTCTTAAAAAAAAAATCCATTCTCCTGATCACTATACTAACATTCCTGTTCTCCTGTTTTTCTATTTTTTTAATCTTATTTTATTTATTTATTTATTTTTTTTTTTTTTTTGGTTCTTAAAAAAATTATTACACAAAGACAGTAATTGCATCTTATTGGGAACTGGACAAGTAAAATAGAACAAATATAAGTAACAAATAAGTAAACTTTACAACATCTTTCTGAAAACTGGGCAAGTAAATTATATATAAGCAAAAATGTTCATCAGCTTGGTTAGGTGAAAAACTCACCATAGGAAGAAAATTTTCAACTTTTATTATGTCTAATAACCAATATTAAATGTTTAATAAAGTGTACCACATTCTGATTCGTCTTTATTTTTTTAAAAAACTTTTTCCAGTCCCTGACAGGCAGTGAGGTGGTGGAGCTCTCTGCTGACAAGCTGAAGGTTCGCCCCATGGTGGAGCCAATGAAATGGGCACTAGAGGGCACCACTTTACTGGCCACCACCAGCCTCCACGTGGACATGCCAGAGTTTGTTCCGGGAAAGACGTGGACAGCACCACCATCTCATGGTAAGTGCACGGTAGAGATGATAGAAGGACCATTTTTGAATAGAACTTTAAGTCTTACCAATTGTGAAATAGTGCTTTCCTTCTTTTTTATGTAAGGATGGTAAATTTAAATGGTTGAAATGCCATGCCACAAAGGTAAAACATGTTGTGAATCTGTCTCTTTAGAAATTTTTTGTTTTTTACCAAACTTGCCAATGGTATTTATAATATCACTTATTTTACACTTTAAGATATTACTCTGTTATATCTTCCAAGAGATATGTGAGAAATATAATGTTTTAGAAAGGAAATGTTTGGCAAGATTTTTGTCTTGAAAATGGACAAAAATTTCAATTTTTTATTTGCAGAGGACAATGCAGAGAAGAAAGAAGAGGTTGTTGAGGAAGACAGTCACGTGGAAGCGCCTGATGTAGTGCGTGAGAACAGTGAAGAAGGAGAGGAGACGGAAGAGCATGAACATGAGGTGGGAATCCGGATTCCTAAGAGTCGTAATTTGATCATTACGCCAGGTCTGTCGTCCAGTGCCCCTGTGAGAAAAGGCGAGTGGACAGAGGTCAAGAGGAAACCTAAGACGCCCAAAACCACACCCAAGAAAGAGGGAGAGGTAAAGCCATGTGGCTTAAATAGGAATTTTGGATTTATAGTATTTATTGTAACCTCATTATTTATAAAAGTTCGTTCTTCCAAGGAAAAACAGTTGTGATTAAGTTTTACTTTTTATTCGTTTCATCACAGGACAGGGTGAGGCATGTTGGTATTATATTAAAGGAAATATATCCATTTTCTTGAATGTCAGAAAAAAAATATGCAAAGTGAAAAATTATTTGGTCCTGTTAAATGTGCATGTTTGCTTTCAAAATTTTGTTAACCCAAAGAAACCAAGGCAGATATGGATGTCTTTGATTACAAATTATAAAAGCTGCCATCAATTCTCTTCCTCTAGTCACATTTGGGTGAAGGAAAAGCGGTGGAAGAAGGAGATGAACCTGAGGAACTGGACTTCATGTTTGATGAAGAGATGGAGAGTGACATCACTGGAGGCAGGAAAAATACCTTCTCTGAGTGGTGAGTTATTTATTTTTTTATTTTTTTTTAACCAGTCCATCTGCACTTCTTAGATTTTATCCTTGCATTAACTTTTCATGGATGCTGTCTGGTTACAAGTGGATTGTAACTATTTTTTCTTGCATAAGTTCATAGTGGACCTGGCATCTAGCACAAATGGTCTAAATTGTTCTCACACTGTGGTCCTGTACTAGAAATGGGTAACAAGAGTAAATACAGGTATTTCTGTTTGCTTTCTGGAGCTATGTAGTCTTTCATCAACTCATACCATAATTGTGTATTTATGTTCAGTGGTTGTGTGTGTGTGTGTGTGTGCGTGTGTGTGAGAGAGAGAGGGGTGGTATAAAATTTTTTATTAGAGATATATGTATTCATAGAATCTATTTATTTCTACCAGGTCTGATGATGAAGACTCGGACCAAGAGCTGACAGACGTGGACATCAGTAAAATCCTTATTGTTACCCAGACACCACCATATTTGCGCAAGCATCCTGGCGGCGACCGCACCGGTGATCACATGCCACGCTCTAGGATGACCCAGGAGCTGGCCAAGGTCATTGATGACGGCTTGTATTACTATGAACAGGACTTGTGGGATCATCCTGGGGTAAGATATAAGCCAAAAAAAAATAATTTAAAAAATATATATTTTTTTTAATTAAAAAAAAGTGTGCTCAACTATCTTGCTTTTCTGAAGAAGGTTTATTTATTAGAAACGGGATTCATACCAATTTCTTTCTTGTCAATGGTTTTGAGGGAATAATTGTCCCAGATTATTTTTTATTTTCACAATACATTACAAATACATAATTGTTCTAGATTTATTCTATTTTAAATTTGGCTTTAACCAGCTGTTCATACTGGTTCACAGTAGGTGGTAATGCAGTGCCACTGTGAACAATCAAGACAGCTAACAGGAAAAGCTGTCAGTTCGGTTCACAACAGTTGTTGTTATGAACAATTAGACAGCTGACATTGTCAGGATTTGAGCATGTTTAAAAATAATTTTAGATTTTTTCAAGTTTCATATCTCGTTTTTGTTTTGTTTATATCCTAATAGATGTCCAAGTGTTAATTCGTTCATTTTTGCTTTTAACAGACATGGGCTTTTTCTGCAGAATCACAGAATTCCACTTTTTTACATGACCCCAAAGCAATTAAACCCCCAAAAATTTATGTAAGGTATTTGGTTCCACAATAAATAAGAGTTTTTTGTTGTTGTTTTTTTCTAAAACCTGGGCTCATGTCTGTTTTAACCCAAGATTTTTTTCTCCTGTCGGGTATAAATATAATACTTAGTGCTTAATGTCATCACTGCGTTATTTCTAGCCTGAACTAAAGACTGTGAACATCATCTCGAGGGATGACTTCAAGAAGATCACCCCAGGTGCGGCCCCCATACAGCACCAACAGGTGCCCCCACCACCCCCCTTGCCACCCGCTGCTCTAGAAGAAGAGGAGACACAAACAGATGGTAGGCTTTTGAGTGTTGTAATACAGGTGTTAAAATTACCAGACCCAACAACTGATTAAAAAAAATCTTACCTTGGAGAGGAAGATGTTAAGGAAAATAGAAAGGTCATTGTAACTGAAGTGAGATTTTATCTTCAGGTGTAATTCAAAGTTATTTTAAAAATTAAAGGATTTTTTTTACTTAGGGCAATATTTTATTGGTAGATTTTGTAGGTCAATGAAGGTTTATTTATTTAAATTATTTTTATGATTATCTTTCCTTCAGATGGTGTGGCAATCCCTCGATCTGGTGCTGCTGCAGCCCCGGCAATACCCGACCAGGCTTCCTCACTCCCTGCAGATATATCTGAGAACCCCACTACTCCAAGGTCAGCCAGGACACCTAGGACACCGAAGGCGCCCCGCTTTTACCCAGTGGTCAAAGAGGGACACACTGGAGTACCAGGGGTAAGAGGGCCAAATCCTTGACCTAGATGACTAATTCTTCTTAGCTGAGGAATAATAATGTTTTAGTTGTCCTTTACTGGGAAACGGGTTTTAATACCGTTAAGAGTTTTTCACTTAATCCCCTAATGTATGAACTTTCCAATACCACTTAGAAAATTTGGAACTATTAACTTACATTTTGACCACCAAGAGCGAAATTCACCAGTCTATCTCCATTATGAAGGTAAATGAAAAACTAAAAACTTGGGTCAACTGATCCTAATTCTGTGAATAGTCTTGGATATGGCTATGGGGATTTATGGAAAAGTACACTTATTTCCATGAAATAAAAAAACTGTATAACTCTCATTGTGAGTCTTAATGTAATTTCCTTGTTCTGTCAGACCTCTAGAAGGCATAAAACCCAGCACAGCAGTATTGTGACTGTCTCTTTATTATAATTTCCATGGTCTATTAGACCCTAGGAAACACAAGACCCATTACAGCAGTATAATGACTGTCTTTGATATAATTTTCATGTTCTATTAGACCCCCAGAAAGCGTAAGACCCGGCACAGCAGTAACCCTCCTGTGGAGAGCCACGTGGGATGGATCATGGACTCTAAGGAACACAAACCAAGTGGCCGAGAGAGAACCGTCTCTGGAACGTCTCTGTCAGCAAGGTGGGGCATGGCTTTAACTTTGTCAGGAGTGTTGTATTGAGATGTGATATTAGACATTAAAGGAATAGGCTTGTCTTTGGAGATATGTCTAGTGTCAAAATGTCCAGTATATTTATTAGCTACTAAAGATGCTATTACAAGCAATTGAAATTGGTGCATTCTTGTGATTTCAGCTGTCATAAGTTGCTCAGTATGGATGTGATAACGAAAAAAGAACAACTGTTGAAATTCATTCAATATTTCTGATTCCAGTCCATCAGAGACGGTGTTGTCCAGCACCCCGCACACCTTCCCTGCCTTCCAACACCCGTCACACTCCTTACTGGAGGACAACGGCTTTGTCTGGCACGTCTACCATAAGTATCATGCTAAGTGCTTGAAGGGTAAGTTATGGTAGCAGTGATATGCAGGCAGAGTTAGCCCAGTCATGCCCTTCATGGTAATGTCTTTTATGTAAGATGAGGACAAGTCCTGTTTTGAGTGTGCATTACAGTGCATATTTTGAAGATGTCTTTTGAGAAGTGTTTAGCTGAAAGATATCCCGTTATGTGATATATAGTGAGCATGAGGCAAGCATAACAGTTTGTGTATTCATATTTTTAAAATGTGTCGGCATAGTCTAGCAATCGTAGTTTTTAGAATATATTATTGTTAAGAAAAATTAGATGAATCTCATAAAGTTAATGTTGCGCTTTAGAGAGCTGGCATTGAATTCAATCCAGATTTTCAGATTCAGATTATATTTTAAGAAAAATGACCTTCATCTGTGGACTTATTTCAGAGCGTAAAAGACTTGGTGTTGGAATGTCTCAAGAGATGAACACACTGTTCAGGTTTTGGTCTTTCTTCCTGCGTCAGCACTTCAACAAAAAGATGTACCAGGAGTTCAGACAACTTTGTCTGGAAGATGCCAAGGCTGGTTATAGGTGAGAAGGAGAATAACTTCTACCTGTGAACTTGGGTGTTGGGTCCCTTGATAAATGTTCAGAGTTTTTTTTTTTTCTTAACCTAGGTTCGTGCCTGCTTTTTAGTTTTTTGCAATGTGATCATTCAGTGGCAACAAGTGAGGCTAATATTTCTGATCTACCTGGGTCTTGTTTCACAAAAGAAAACTCTAGTCAGAACTGCGTCCAAACTGCAATACTGAATTTTGTGTTCAGCTTTGCTCAAGGAGAGATTTAAAAATAAATTCTTAGAGGTGGAGAGATTTACTTTAGCTAGTCAGCTAGAACAAGTTGATGACGACTCAACCAATTTTTTTTTTTTTATACGGAATATGTTTACTTCAGATATGGCCTGGAGTGTCTGTTCCGCTACTACAGCTATGGCCTAGAGAAGAGGTTCCGACCTGAAGTATTCAAAGATTTCATGGAAGACACCATTTCTGATTATGAAAGTGGTAGGAAATGGTCTTCATCTTCAAACTTATTATTTGTTAAAATTAAAATTTTTTTTGCATATAAAATATGCACAATTGATGAAGGTGTTATTTTACTGTACATAGTTCACTTTTTATATATTTGTTGGCTTTGGAGTTGCCTTGAAATTTTGTTGTAATTGTAATTAACAGACTCTTAAACTGTTCCAAGACAAATGTTGCCAAAAAGTTGAGTGTGCAGTTTTTAATTTTTTCTGATCTCTTCATGTAAAGTCTTTTAACTATTATTAAGAGGCCCAGAGTCAGTTGAAATTTTGACTCCAATGGGTTCTCCTTGAATGACTGTTAATTTTGAAAATTTCATCAAAATTTGTTAAGAATGTTTGAGGCAATCTTGCCTACAAACAAACAGACAGAGAAACCTTTGCTGATGAAAATACAAAACATCACCTTGATGGCCATTGCAATAATTGCAACCATATTTTTATTCGATGATTTTCAGGTCAGTTGTATGGGTTGGAAAAGTTTTGGGCTTTCCTGAAATACTCTAGAAAGAACACTCTGGAAGTGGAACCCAAGCTGAAGGGCTGGTTAGCCAAGTACAAGAGACTGGAGGATTTCAGAGTGGATCAGGTCACCCTTTTGCTAAATAATTTCTAATTGACAGTATGAAAAGGCAGATTTTTATTTATTGGTTTCACTTACTATTTCTGCTGCTTTGGGCCAGTCGATTCTTAGACCCTTTTGATTCTAAGTGTAAATGGGCCATAAAGTTTTTAGCACCGACTGTGGAAATTTATTCCTTAAGAAATTTACATCATATTACCCCTAATCATCTGCACCTTATGGATATACATGTTTGATTTTTTGATTTTGCTTCTCACAGGTGGAGGAAACTGCTGAAGGCAAGCAAGAGGTCCATTTCAGTAGCATATCTGGCAGAAGTCGCAATCTCTCTGAGAGTGGCGGAAAAAGGGCAAGAAAGTCCTCCGAGAGCAAAGGAGATGGTGCTAGCGGAAGTGGAGGGCGTCGTTCAAGACACTCCTCTTCCCACAATCAACCCGACCAAGGCAAGTCCGAAAGTGCAACAGCTAAAGGAGTGGACCATACCAAGCATCCCAAGCACATACCTAGTGACCAATCTAAGAAAGCAGATGGCAAATCTAAAACTGACCAATCAAAAAAGGATGAGAAGGGAAAAGGGGACAGCCATCATCATCACCAGCAGACCAGCAAGTCGCACACCGCCAAGTCACATGACCATGGATCTAAGTCACATGACCACACTTCTGTAAAAGGTGCTCAAGCAAAATCCGCTGCTCAGGCCCAGGGCAGCGATCAGACTAAAACTGCTACTCAAGCAAGCTCAAAAAGCCAAGAGAGTAAAGGAGAAACAATAGAGGATTCTAAGACTACCAAGGGTTGAAAATGTCAAGATCAACCCAAGTGATATACAAACCTGTAGAGGACAGCTCAGTATTCATACATGTCTCTTCATTCTGGTTTAAGGCAGCTGGAAAAAAAAGACTTGCTTTCTTTGGCCATGATGATAGATTATTGATTTGTCTTGATCTCGGTAGGAAAAAAGTAGAAACAACCGTATACGGAAAACTGCATTAGTTTTTAAGAAGAAAGGAAGAAATTTGAAAAACTAGTTTTCGTGTTTGAAATGGTAACCCACAAGTGGGGTCTTAGGAGGCCAGCCATCATTTTGAATTCAAGCGTGTTTTCTTGCATATATATAATTGTAGGTATACTTCATGATAATTGCCACCATCACCTGTGCTTAAGTAAAAAAAATGCTTAGTATTGGTACACGTTTTCACTTTGAAATATTGGGCTGTGGGAATGAGTGGTTGTAGACTAAGACCATTAATCTGTTTGTCCAATGTATTTTGTGGCTATTGTTGTGCAGAGGTTGATTGGGATCTGGAAAAAAAGAAGACAACAGCAAAGGGATTGTTTTATTTTTCCTTCTTTCTTTTTGAGTGCTGCAGAGGAAATGCTTACTAAGTTGTAAATAGTGAAAAAAAAAGTTTGGTCTGTGAAATTGTACAGCAGTGCTGTATTGAGAATATAGTGGTGGATTAGTTTTGAGGTTGGTAACAGTAGAGATAGTAGAGCATACAGACATAATATTATATAATGTAGTTATACATATAACACACATATATATATCTGTTAATGTCAACGATTTTGTTTATATTTTAACCTTTTCTACTAGAAGACCAAGTTTCTACTAGAAGACATCAGTTTGGTTGAGGAAGGGTGTGAATTTTATTACTGGCTTGCAGTGAGTTGCTTAAAATTTATTGTTAAAAATGAGATGGCCAAGTTGGAGGTGGTGTTGCGTGCTCCTTATAGGGTGTCTTATCCACTATATATATATATATATATATATATATATATATATATATATATGGATAAGTAACTAAGCAATCAATATTTTGTTGAAGCGTTAAACGGTTTAAGGTGTATATTTTCTAGGCGTGGTATATTAGTCTGGTCAGTGTGAGAGGAAGCTTTGGAGATGCATCCTCGGCTTTTAAAGTTAAAATGTTGACTGTTTTCCCCCTTAAACTGCAACTAGGGTATGAAGATGAATTCCCTTTGACCATCTAGAGCAGGGGCAGGTTTCTACCTTCTTGGTTTTCTAGAAGACATCTGGAGACATATTTCAGGATATTTCAAGTTTGAATTTCACTGTGGAGTACCGTAGGCGAAGCTGTGAGCATTGGAAGATAAAATCTACCCCTTGAGTGTATAGGACAAACCCATTAATTATATACATCCTGTGCAAAAAAAAGCTTACATCATATAGATTATAATGGCAGTATGATTCAGAAGTTTCCCATATCTTTTCATTCATTTTTATTTATGAGCTTTTTTTAGCAAAGAAAAAAAAATCGATGTAATGTAGATAGTCTTTAAAGTTCGAAGTTCAGCATGTACAGGGATGAAGGGATTAAAAAATTAGCTGCCAATAATATTAATGGTGACCGTGATGTCAGTTCATATTAGACACAGCCTTTACTTGAAAATGCTTTGCTTATTTGCCAGTTAGTTGAATATGAAAATTGACCAGCAAGAACTGCCCATTTGTAAATTATATTCTGGAAATAAATATAAGTCTGTAAGCAAAGTGTAAGGAAAAAAATATATAAAAAGATGAAAATACAAAAAAGGAATATAAAACCGAATGCTTGTGTGACAATGATGTGAGTTGCTTATGTAGGACTTTGTCATAAATTACGATAATTCTACGAGAATAATGCAGGGCTATATCAGATGGTGCAACATCACAGTCTAGAAAATAACCAAAGGTTTACTTTTCAGGGAACTTGGTCAATCTGGTGTCTATACAAAGTAAATGCAGTTCACTGCTCAACTGTTTGAATAATACAGTGACTATTTCAATATGCTACAATAAGATGAAATCTTTTTCCAATATGTTTAGTAGTTATCCAACGGATGAGGATACAACTTTTTTTCTTTGGTGTCTTAGTCTATGGTAAGAACAGAAAGCTAGCACTTAAAAGAAATTGTGATAATATTTAAATAGGGATTGAATGTTACATTTGTCTGCAGCTGCCAACCCTTTTAATATGACCCTAATGTGATTATCTGCACCATTTAGATTGCTTGTTAGAAGGAATTGAATGTGTCATGGTCCTCCGAGTCTTCCAGGTTTTTTTTGAAAGTTTAACACTGGATGATTTGATTTGAAAAATGAGCGATGGCTGCTTATTTGGCTAACTGTATGTGTGCCCCCCCCCCCCACTTCATTCATCCTCCCCATCATTTCATTCCTTTGATGAAGCATATAGACACACACACAGAGTGGAGGATTTCAATTGATGAATAACTCGGCTGAATGTTTGCTTCTGATGGCAAATTAACTTGAAAAGGGAGAGGAAGGGATGGGAGGGGATTGCAGAGTCCATTTGAAGGAAATTGACACATTTGATGCATATTTATAATTTATATTGGATGACTTCATGGTACCAATCCTTTGGCTCTAATGGAATGGGGTACTCTTGTGGTTAAAGGAATGACATTAGCATAAAATTTCTGTATTATATTTAGGACAAGCCTGTCGTGTTATAAAAGTGTTACGAGTTTGCCAACTTGTATTAACTGACATATACTAGCTGTAAGTTCTTCAGTATCTGGTATCTGGCCAAGTGGCTTCCTGCAGAGTTTCAGAGATCATTGAAACTCCAGCCCCTGCTTTGCCAAACTGTGGAGTAAACCCTACATGCACTGGGTTTGTGTATGTGATGTATTAGATTACAAGTAGTGAAAAAAAAGTTAGGTATTCAATTTGTATTCAGTGATATTGACGTCCTTAGCAGCTTACCATGTTGAGTAATAATAAGTAAGTTTTCACTATGCAGGGACAGAAGAAAAAAATGCACATACTCATCTTTTCTGTGGATAAACAAGATGTACAGTTATTATGTTTTATTATTATTATAAATATTATTACCATTGCATCGTATTTTAAGCTTGGTGGTAATTACATATATCTATTCAGCATAACCCGATTAATAATTAAGTGCAAAGAGTTAGGTTTTGTGGTAACTAGATGGCAGTTTGTTATTATTATTATTATCATAATTTTAAATTCACTTTGGGTTGTTGATTTGTTCATTACATTATGATATTTGTGTTGTGTGATTCTGAATGCGTGTATGTAGAATGATGTTTTTTGCTTTTATGCTACAGAAAAAAAAATGGGTGTAATTTTATTTAGTTCAATTTACCATGACTGGGATTAGAGAGAGCCAGGGAGAAATGACTGGAATAGAAATACTGGATGTCAAATTAAGTGCAAATAACACGCAATGGATTGAAATTGAAGCTAAGAAGAGGGTGAACTTTGCAAAGTATACAAAAATGCAGTTTGAATTGTGTTTTAATTATATATCTTAGCCAAAACATTTGGTTAATATTAAGTTGTTTTTTAAAGTTATTCTGTTGTGAATAGGAATTTTTTTTTCTATAAATTTGAGACACTAAATCAGTGTCACTTATTTTCAGTGTAATTAAGTCAAACAATACTGTCTTTACATGTTTTGTTGAGGCATTAATTCTGTACCCTTTATCATGTTGATTCAAAAAGCTCGTGGCATGAAGAGCCATATACTGATGGTTTGCTGAGGTGTGCCACTTCCATTCAAACTAGATGGGCTCAGAAGCATAGTAATGACCATATGGCTTTTTATCCCGTCATCCCAGCCATCCAACTGACATCTTGGATTTATGAGAGCAGGTGTTATCTATATCTAGAGCCGCATTCAGAACAGTGGACCCACTAAAAAAGCTTGCTCTCTAATCCGCTAATAGACACTGAATAGATACCCTGTGGGGAAGTATTCAAGTGGGTTGGCCATATTTGACCCTTGGACTAGTTAGTCCACAGTTCTGAATGCGGCCTAAAGAATCATTTCTGCTAGCAGTGTATCAAATATGTTGGCAGACATTGAAGCCACTGATTTCTTCAGAGATTTGCATTGTTCGTCAATATCTGGTCAGATGGAAACTGGCAGTGCTTACTTTGCATCAGTACAAATCATCAGTGTATTGTTCATATGTCTCCTGTTCACTTCTTTTGGAGCAAAATTATGTGAGAAGAGGGGGAGGGGGGTCCCATTAACCGTTTGGTCCAACAGAAACTCTAAACTAAATTAGTTGTGTTTTAAGAAGTTAAGAGAATAAGTGAAATTTTGACAGGTTGACCAGTTTTTAAAAGCGAACTTACAGTTTCTCATTTTTTGAATAACAAGGACTTGAAAGGCTGTTTTATTTATAATTTATAGGTTTCCAGTTTGGAAAATCAAATTCTTTTGCCTGCTATCCCATACAGTTATTTCGCACTTTTGGTAAATATGTGGATAAAAAAAACCCTGGTGGTGAGAATAGAGTGAACAGAGGGCAAAGAAGAAAATAGTTACTGGTGCTCTGTAATCCAGTTATAGCTATTGTTTGTGTGAACTGGGTTTTAATTTTCTGTGAATATGCTACAAGTCTACCTTGTATTATGTCAGTGCTCTATATGTTATGTTGCAAATTTGATTCAGTTTGAAGTGTATCTCATATGCATCACATTTAACCTTACATATATGTGTCCGTCAATGAAAATCCATATAAAGATATATGTATCTTTACTTGTTATTATAAGTAGTAGCAGTTGTGGGTAAATTGGGATTATTTAACCATTTAGTTCTTTACTTGTGTTATTGAACCAGACATGGTTATGTTTTGTTGAAAGTAGATCATTATACTCTGTTGTCATGCATTATTATTATAATTAATAGAAGTATAATAGTATTATTTAGAAGTTACTAGTGTAGTTGGGGTAGTTGCAGAATAAAAGAAATAACCCAACTTTTCATTGTCTCATTTCTTTGCTTCTCAGTTCAACTCTGTCTAAGATAATATTGAGGAAGCTGTACTGTTTGTAACGATTTTACACTTCAGTTTTGAATTTTAACCATTCTAAATTTTCACTTAAAGTTATTTCCCTTAAACTATCTAAATTACCCCCCCCCCCCAAAAAAAAAAAACAAAAAAACCTTTAGCTTTTTCTATGTGTAATCTGTGACCAGAGTATGCCAAATACAATTTGTATGAATACATCTAAGAAGCCATATGTGATAACAGTCACAGTGGTAACTATATTCCATATTTCCTCTGTTTAAATTATGAACGATCTGCCTCCATATTTCTTCTGGATTTCCACTACAAGTTTTTGACTTTGTTTCAACTGCAGATATCTTTATGCAAGAATCATGAATGATTTTTCAATTAACAGTTGTCAATTTTCAGTTGGTAGATTCTGCCCTGCTCAATAGGTGTCGCCACTACATTCTTCCCACTGGTTTTATTCCCAGAATGTTGAACCCAGCAGCCATGATGGAAGCTGCAGCCTCACAAAGAAGCAGACGATTCATGTTCACCTTGAGAATCTCCCCTGAAAGTAATAAAGTAATAGATATATTCTAATTAAATGGCATCATCAATTCTCATATTCTTTTTTTTTTAGCAGCAGAAATCAGTTCAGTTGACACATTTGAACTGCATGATCTCATAAGTGATTTACTGACAAAGTCCATATCACTAGTAAAGCACTTACATATTGCAAACCTTCACCAAGAAAAATAATTAACTTATAATTAACCATTAAACAATGGAACACCACCAAAATCTTGTAACTTTAAAGTAAGACCATTTGTGACCCATCTAGAAAATTTCATTAAAATCAGTCAATAACTTTTTGAGCCAAACAGGTGTTAAACAAACAAAAAATCAAACAAGTGAAAACAAAAATAACTAGAGGATCAGAGAGGCGATACCGCCTCCGAATATTGTACCACCAGCTGGAGCAAGCGCATTCGTATAGACCCCCACATACACAAAATAAGGGACACAGCCACCAGTCTTTTGCTTGACAAGCTGTAAAAATGCAATCAACAAGAATTTTCAAAATATGCAATAAAATATATCAAAANCCTTGACGGAGGTAAATATCAGTGATAACAGTATAAAAAAAAAACATGAATACAATACATAATGTTCCACTCACCAGTCTTCTTGTCCTTTTCTACACAGTAACATGCATCATAGAACTCTGTGAAAGTGGTGGCCATTTCATACAAGTAATCGCATAGAGTGTGCATGTAAAGATCCTCCGCCACTTTCAGGATAATTTCTGGGAATTTCACGATGCATTTGGCCAATTTCCATTCCTTGGGATGGTCCACTTTCCAAGATTCTGTGCTCTTGGAGGCTTCTTTAAGTTGCTCTGGTGTAACTCCAGCAGTTCGAGCAATTGATCTGAAAGTTAAGTACATTTTTAAAAAAAATAAAACCAGTACATACTAAAATATAACCAAAGCTTTGAGGGAGTTATAATAATTATTGTGTTAAGTTTAAGATATGGCATAAGAACTATTTTTCAAATTGGTAATCATTCAATGATACATATAGTTACACATAAATATGCCAATCACCAAACCTGCCCAGAGTTCAACACACATAATGCAGAGCTTTAAAAATGAAGTCATTCATCGTAATTAAAATTACAATGCAATAAATATTACAATAAACAAAACTCTGTGGAGAGTGAAAGAAAGATCATGTATGGGTCAGCAGGAGGGGAATAGAAGGTTGGGGGGGGGGGGGGGAGGAAGAGGAGGAGTAACTCACTTTATTCTCATGTAGGCATACAGAAGGTACACTGCAGTATTTCCCTTGTCATCCAACATCTGAAAATAGAAACAGATAAAAATCTTTAATTTTGCAAAGGTGGCAAGAGGATGAAATTTCTGTTCTCCTGTAACAGGTTTTTCTCTCTATTTACTTCATTGTAATCAAACTGAACATCAGGCATCTTCACTCTAGTTTGTCAATGCAGGGCCTGATCCAGGATTATCAGAAGGGGGGTCCGCAGATGCGAAGCTGCCCTCCCAACTCCCATGGCGTGGTATTTTAGAGGGAAAACTGTGCCATTCAGTACTGTTTAGAACTATGATTCAGCTAGACAAAATTCTAATTTCAAGAAGAGACCATTGGTGTGATTTTTTTTCAGAAATTGAAAGGGCGGGGGGTCAGGACACCCCTCCCCCTTAAATCCGCCACTGCAATGTATAGGTGTTGTATTCAATATGTACTACATGTAACATAAGCTGAATAAGGTTCATATCTCATTTCAAATTAAAGGTGAAAACACAGCTCTTGGTTGACATAATGTGAATTTTAATTCATCCTTAATCTATGCATACAGCTACTTGTTATGAAAAGCTGCATCTTGCTTCTGCATTATAAGATATTTAATATATTAGTATCTTTAGGCAGTATAAGATATTAAACAAATTTTACCAAAGGAATAGACAGAAATATGTTATGGACTTTTATTTACTTTACCTAAAATAAACTTTTTCAAAACCAGGCATGAGGTTTGCACTCGAGCCAAAATCCCGTATAATCTTTCTCTTAAGCCAAAACCCCAAGTAATGGTTCAAAACCCAGCAATTTTTTTTCACCCAAGCAAAACCCCAGTGATGGCTTAATACCTTGTCAAAGGAGAAGACATAATCATTAGTTCTGTTATGAGATAAGTCGGCATATTTAATGCACCCGTAGGCAACGGCTTCCTGAGCTGCTTTCAACTCCTCGGGAGTCAGTACCTAAAATGATAATTTAATGATTTTCACACTTATAATAATAATAATAATAATAATAATAATAATAATAATAATAATAATAATAATAATAAACTTTATCAAAAGAGGGCAAAACATGTGAAGTGTACACACTTATCTTACACATGGCCCTCTGGGGAGTTAGCACAAAACATTGTGTTAATGAATAAAAGATGAATAAATTAATGAAATTAAAATAATAATGAAGTAAAACAATAATGAATTTATAGAAATATGCTAAAGACCCATTTGAAATTGAAAAAAAAAGTAAGGCTTTAAATTTAGAACAAAATTTTAAAGCGCATTCAGAACAGCTGGCTAACAGATCCGCAGATTAAATATAGCTGACCCACTTGAATGCTTGTTGCGTAATCCCCACATGGAATTTTTTTTTTTTTTATTCACAAAAAGACAAACAAAAATACATATGTAGACACACACACAAACACACACACACACACACACAATAACACACAAAGCATTCATTATACATTAAGTAAACATGAAATATATGTAGATAGCCGGACTACATACAAAACAGTATATTACAAGTGATGCTGCACATAACAAGATACAAACATTTTACATTTTACATAGAAGAAATTAGCGAAAAAGTAAAGTAAATTTATAAGTGGAGAAACTAGTCAAAAATGGAATCCCAGGTTCTCCACTCTGTAAGAATTTATACAGTGTCTAATCAGGAATTAAGCGGCAAGCTTTTTAGTGAGTCGCCATATTTGATCCATGGATCTGTTAGTCTGGTGTTCTGATTGTGCTCTTAGTCAACTTATACCCAAGATAAATTAGCAATCAAAGGCAGTCCATTTAAATGAAATAATGTACATGACCTATAAAAAGACAGTAACGGTAAGAAGAGTAGCACTGGCTCTGGTTATGTGAATGCTAATAGCATTTAGCAAGT